GGGGGGCTCCTCTCCGGCCCTTTCCAGGGGCCGCCTCGTCCCCCTGCAGCCCCGTCACCTCCTCCCCAACATGCCGGCTCCCGCCGAGATGTTTGCATGAGGGGAAGACGGTTGCAAAATCTGGCGGGACTTAGGGGTGAGTTTGCTGACCGGGAGCCCCTGCCTCCAGCCCGGGAAGTCTCGGGGTCACGGGCTCTTGGGAGGAGCGGCCGTCGGATGGGGCACGGAGGACGGGTCAGGTTCGGCAGGTGCGCTGTGCGCGCCCTCAGGCTGGTGGCCCGGTCCTGTCGCCTACGTCCCTACAGCCTGTGGAGGGCCACCTGCTCGCCTGAGGTGCTCTGGCGACCCCCTCGCCCCCCCCACACACACACGTGGTGTTCTGGCTCTGTCCCCGGGGGGGGCTGGGGGCACGCGTCGTGTCCACATCGTTGGGATGGCGGGGGACGGCCGCTTCACCTTGAGGGGCGGCGGGCGGGGTGGCCGTGAGGTGACGGGTGAGGTCAGCCCCAGCCCCGGCTGCCCGCACGCCCGCACCCTACGCACGGCATCCGAGTTACCAGCTGGGCAGACCCCTCCTTTTGTTCCTCTCGAGCCCTCGTCCCACCTGTCCAAGGCCTCCCTGTCCACCCGCCCCCCCGCCCCCCCCAGCCAGAAAGCACACGGGCTCCCACGGGGCAGGGGGCCTGACGTGTTTTCCCCCAGAGCCGTGTCTGCGTGGGGCCAGGGCCGCTGGGCCTCACAAGAGCCCGGTCCACATCAGATCGCTTTCCAGCCCAGAAGCAAACAAGCCTCAGCCCTTTCCCTGAGGGCCACGGCCGGGCGTTGTCAGAGGGCAGGAGAGAGCAGACTTCCCCTCCCCTGGGCCCGAGGAGCTCACTGCTGATGTGTATGGATTAGTATCCCATTTGGTCCTCACAGCAGACTTGGAAGGAACATCTGTCTCCATCGCCTCCGTTTATAGATGAAGAGGCGAAGCTGGGGGGTGGGGGGGTGGGTTTGGCAGCTTGCCCCAGACCTGTTCAGCCCACCGTGGCCGAGCGCCCTCTGAGCACCACACCCACTAGACCCCCTCACTGCTCTGGGTCCTGGCCTTACCCCTCAGCCCTGACAGGCGTGTGCTTACTTTCCAGGGTACGGTGTCATGGCAGATGGGACAACGACCTATGTGAACGCGTCTGTGTGCACCGTGAACTACCAGCCCGTGAACCCGCCCATAGTCATTGACCTCCCCACACCCCGGAACTCCTGACTGCCCCTGCCTTCTCCGCCCTTCCTGCCCACATCAGCTACGTACGCCTGGCCGAGAGCACGGACCCCCAACCACCCTTCCTTCCATGCAGACAACCTGTCTGGTCGAGGGGACCAGCCCAACGGATGGGTTGAGGCCTTGGAATGAAGAAAATCACCCTGACTCTTCAGCCTCGGTCACCTGGAGCCAGGAGCCTGCGGGTCCCTGTCAGGGGTTCCGCGCTCATTATTCTGCGTGTACATTTCCGCGTGTACCTTGTCAGAGGACCTAACGAGCTTGTGGTCCCGTCCCGCTCGGGAGTTGACGGCCTCTTCGTCCTTCTCAGTCGGACACCCTCGTGGGTTTGGGAAGCTGCTGCTTCTGGACCGATTTTGGAAGTTCTAGCACAAAAGCTCCCTCTAACCGAGGGTCTGTGTGGCTGCAAGCCCCAGGGTTGGGGGTGGGTGGGAGGTTTTGTAGCCGGGGTGCGAACAGCCCGCCCTCTCCTCCCGGGCTGGAGAGGAGACGGGCCTGCTTCACAGCCGAGGCCCTCGAGGGAGCGATCAGGGACGTCTCAGGAATTCGGACCGCACCCGGCCAGGCCAATAAGCCGTCTGCCTCGCCTTGTGGCCCTGCTTTCTTCCTGTGGGCATCTTTGCTGACTTGATCAGTGGCCTCAACCTCCAGGTACTTGCTCGGAGCCTGGATCCGGGGGGTCGGTTCTACAGAACGAGCCATGTCAGTGCCCAGGACCGGCTGGAGGGTTCCCGAGTCATGGACGGCCCCTGGTCCCGTGCTCCGCAGAGCTCAACAGGCTGGAGGCTCTGCAGACTGAGGCCACGCTGCTGCGTGTGTGCGCCCACGCGAGTGTGTGTGCACCTACACGCACACACACACATACACACACACATACACACACGCACTTCTTAACTGATAAAGTGGATCCCATGTTTCTCACTACCGTCCTTGAATGGGGTTCCATCCCTCGGTGCAATTTCCCGAGCACCCTTTGGGTTCTGTCTGGCGGGCCCACAGCTGAAGAAGGCTGAATGGTTCCCAGTCCTTGTTGTCAGTGTGTGTCCTGTTAACGGGAGGGCGGCACGGTGGCAGAGGGGCCCTGGGCTCCGGCAGCTGCCCGCAGGGGGCTTCTCTTTTCTTTAAATTAGGCCTGGGGGGTTTGGACTGGGTCTCGGAGGGAAAGGGAGCCAGCAGGGTCTCGTTAGGGTGAGGCCAGAGAGGCAGGTTCCCCGTGTGCAGGGTCAGATCCTGTCTTTATTTCCAGTTTTGATGTTTTGTCCATCCTGGCTATTTTTCTGAATCGATTTGGATTTTTAAAAGACGTTGGGTTAAATAGCATCACATTTATCTCTCCTGCTGAGCTTTTTGGGACCCCCCCCCTGCCGCCCTCGCGCCTCTGGGAGGAGGGCCTTACTCACTTCACCCCAGGCCCAGCCCTTCACAAGCCCTTTGCAGATACAATCTCATTTAATCCTCAGGCAGTCCTGCAAGGTTAGCCCTGCTGGCCCCATTTTGGAGATGAGGAGATGGAGATCAGAGAGGTGAGGTCACTTGCCTGAGGGTGCACAGCTCAAAAGGGGCAGAGGCAGGCCTTGAGCCTTGGTCTCTGGCTTCATAACCCCTGCTTTGCCACCACCCAAAGCTCCACCCCTACAAGGCACTTCTGTTTTAAGGGTCCGGTTCGGGACCCCTCCAGCTTGTTCCTCATAGAGAGCCCCTGGGGCCCACAGAGGGATCCTGATCTCTGAGCCCAGCACCCAGCATCCCTGGAGACCACGACTCCTTCCTTACTCACGTGGGGCTCCCCACGGGGCATCGTCCACGACGGGAGCCTAGCAGCACCGCCCTGACCGAGGCGGGCTGGGCTCCGTGGGGCACAGGACTTCGGGAGTCCGTTCGGGCAAGTGGTCCCTGGCGGCCGAGGATGTTTACAAGGTCTCTGGGGAAACCCCGGATGCATGACCCATGTGCACGCGTGGGGTGGAGAAGACACAAGGCCCTTTCAGACACCTCTACCGAATTTCTATGTGGACCAAGAACTATAAACTTGAAAAAAAATTTTTTTCCTAAGGTATGTTCAGAATATGGTGTATTTTTATGTGGAAAAGAAAAGTTATGAAGGCAGCTGTTACTTTGAAAGAAAATTCATTAAAAGTCCTTGAGGTATGAAAGACAATGGCGTGCTCCTCAATCATTTTGGCATAACTTGATTGTGGCTGTAATTTTTTTTGTCAAGCATGTCAGACAATAAAGTCTTTGTAAAAAGAAGGAGATGTCCACGTGGCGCCTCTTCCTGTGTGCGTCTTGGGGTGTCGTGTGAGGCACGTGGGGGAGGAGTGGCATCCTCTCCGCCCGGTCCTGAGTCCTGGGCAGAGTTCAGAGGCCGAAGACCGTCCACACGGCAGCCGCAGGCATCTTTTCGCTTGCTCCAGTGTCCCCAGGGGCGGGCCAGTCTCAGAGGCGGTTGGCATGGGCCGTTCTGTGCCTTATCGTGTTCAAGTGTTTTGACTGATTCCTCAAAACAGAGGACCTCAGGATGGTCTTAGCTCTGGGCCCTTCCCGGAAGCAGTATGTCCAACCCAGTCCTCATCAAACCAAGGGTCCAGGTCTTGCCTAAGAAGAGCACTGACAGGTCTAATGACGCCAGACACTGAGCCACCTAAGCTGTAAAAGTCCTGCCATTTCCTTCCTTCCTTCCTTCCATCCATCCATCCATCCATCCACACACCCATCCATCCGTCCGTCTGTCCATCTGTCCATCCGTCCAGCCAGCCAGCCATCCACACATCCATCCATCCATTCATCCATCCACCAACCCACACACCCATTCATAGATCCATCCACCCAGGCCCACAAACCTTCACTGAGCACTTCCCATGGGCCTGACTCGGACTAGGGAGGTGGTGGCAGGTTAAGGAGGTAGGGTTTCTGAGGGATGGATGTGGGGGTGAGAGTGAGGGAGAGCCAAGGATGACAATGGATGTTGGCTGCCAGTCATGGAAGGGACAATAGGAGCTGGAAGGTTTGAGGAAGGACCTGAGTTCTGTCTGGGACTGGAGCCGGAAGTGCCCTTGGGATATGCAAGGGGAGGAGTTCAGTGGCTGGAGGGATAAATGGCCCTGGATGGAGAGGAGCCTCTGTGGAGATCTACATTTGTGGGTCACAACCAAAGCCACGGGTCTGGAAGGGGCCTCCCAGAGGGGTGTGGGGAGGGCAAGAGGAGCAGCCTGGGGCCGACGTCGCAGCTTCTCCGTGACCCTTTCGTGTCCTCAGAATACCCCACCTGTAAACTGCCCCTCCACCGGGGCCTCAAAGGTGCCTGCAACAACTCCCCATCAGTGGGCAACAAGGAGGAGCCACTTGACTTTGGGTAGTCTCGGCTGCTGTCCTTGGCCAATGTGAGCCCGAGCAGTGCTTCTGGGCATGAGGCAGGGAACCCTGTGGTGGCTGCTGCCTCCTGTAGGCCCTGCTCTAGTGCACGGGTCCCCAAGTTCTGCTGAGACTCCAGGTGCAGCCGCTGCTGAGCCATGGGCTCCTGCTGCCCTCAGTGTAGACGGGTGCTGATTGGGCTTTGGACAAGTGGTGGAGGGGGGCCCACCACAAGGGTGCCAGGGCCTCTAGCCCCTCGCCTCTTAGTGCTTCAGTACCCGGGGCTCATGCACACTTAGCCATCTTTGCCATACAGGATGGCGTCTCAGACAACCCTCTTGTCCATGGGAGTCTAGTGGGCAAATGCAGCAAGCCGTCTCCCCTCCCGAAGTTCACTGTCCAGGAGAGACCCCTGCCCCAGCCCCCTGAGTAAACCAGTGGAGGTGACAAGCTCTACAGACAAGGGCTTCATCCCGTGCTCTCCCCTAATGCCACCCCCAGCTCCCCGCTGGGCCCGAGCCTGCCTGGGGGCCCTCAGTCCTACCCTCCCATTGAAGGCGCAGACTGTGAAGGTCTCCAAGATGTGGGAGTCGGGATCTGATGTCTGGAAGCTCGTGGTGTACTTTGGGAGGCTCATCTGATCCCAGAAAAGAAGGAGAAGCCTCAAGTCTTTCATGCTTGGGGCCCAGAGAGCAAAGAGGGGATTGGCTTGGGGGCCCCGAGGAAGAGCAAGCCCAGCGTACAGGGAGCTCAGGGAAAACTGTTCTGGAGGAAGGAACCGAGCTGGGCCCTGAACAATAGAATATGATTTTCCCATTAAAAAAAAAAAACACAAAACTTTTCGTTTGGAAATAATTGTAGATTTACAGAAGAGTTGTAAGGTGGTGCAGATGATTCCTCTCTACCCTTCACCCAGTGTCCCCTGGCGTGAACATCTTGTATAACTGTGATGCCTTTACCAGAACCAAGGAATGAAGGTTGATACAACACTATTAAACTATAATCTTGATTTGGATTCCAATAGTTTTTGATTAACGTCCTTTCTCTGTTCCAGAACCCAGTCCACACTACCACATCGCATATGGTTGTCATGTTTCTTTAGGGATGGTCTCTCAGTCTATTCTCGCTTTGCCTGACCTTGAAGGTTTTGAATACTGGCTGAATGCTCCAGAGAATGTCCATCAAGCTGGGTGGGCCTGGTGTTTTCTCATGATTAGTCTGGGGTTATGTATGGTGAAAATACAACAGAGCTGATGGGTCCTCAAGGCATCTTCTCTGGGGTAACATGATACGGCCATGACTTATCACTGCTGATGTCAATCTTCAGCACACAGCGGAGGGGATGTCTGCTGGGTTTCTCCACCATAAAGATGCTAGCCTTCGTTTTCCATACTCTGTTAGAACTGAGACACCAGTCTGGCTCATGGTCAAGGAGAGGTGAATCGAGCGCTCCCTTCCAGAGGGAAGAGCAACAAAGAATTTGAGGACACAGTTAAAATCACCACATTAATTAATATTTGGGGGAGGTATTTTCAGGCCATGCAAATGTCATATTTCTCCTTCAAATTTTGCCTGCTCATTTTAGCATCGGCTGTGGAGGGATCTTGTCTGGAGCAATGATTACTGAGGTGCTC